ACTCTATTTAAAAAAACCATACGTCACGATTTGTATTCTTTTGATTTTAAAAACGCATATGAATAATTTTGCCGAATTATTTCACCTTAGAAATGAAACAACAGCCTAAAATATATATTTAATATAACTGTGATTATTTCGCAAACACGCAGGCTGAGAGAACTCCTTTTTCTGTCACATTCAATGATTTAGAAAATATTTTCTTTAAATATTACTAAAATTAATCTGGGGCATCAATTATTGAGTTAATTAGTGCTAATTAACAGTCCCTGGCTATATTATTATACGCACTATAAGATTGGATGTAAAATTTTAATTATCACGTGATACTATACAGCTTGATTGTTTTTACGCGACTGAAACCGGTTTGAACTTGTTTACGTTCGTGTATCAAATGGTTAACATTGTAATGCAATACGTTAAAAAAATAAATGCAAATAGAAAGCATATAAAAAATCTCCCGAATAAAAACCCATTACACGTATGTTTAAATATAAAAGTATAGCATATAAACTAGCGCATAACATGTCATTATAAAAACACTATAGTGGGTCTAATAATATGGTCTAATTATTATTATTGACTAAAATAATACCTGATATAATAAATATTTATACAATATATCATCCAATAGTTGAATGTATATCGCTTAATTGATACACGAATGTAATCAAGGGCAAACCGGTTTCAATTAAGTTGTAACTAGGACTGGGCGATGTTAGAAATTATATATCGTGATGCATCGTCAGTTTTGCATCGCGATATAGTATTTTTGAATTTCATTCACTTGTAAGGGCACAAAAAGTCAAACTATCAAAACTTCATACTCAGATTGATTTAAGTCAATTTATAAATTTGAAGATATACATGTTTTGCTTAAGAAAGATATTAAATAAATTGACTACAATGTACAAATCTTACTTAAAATATTTATTGAAATGTTTGTTTAGAAATTCATAATACGCGCAAAACAAAGTGTTAAAAACTTTTTTTAAAGCGTTTTTTACAAATTAATATTTTCTTATACTATTATGCATAAATAATTACATAATTATTAAGTTCGATCGTAATGTNCGTGTCTTATATCGCTATATCGTTTTGCGCTCGTTGTCTTTACTCGACGGCTTAAATCAGATTTCTGATGCATCGCCTTGAATGAAAGTCGCCGTATCGTCTTGCCGATATATACGTTAAATCGATATGTCTCGATACATCGATTTATAGCCCAGTCCTAGTTGTAACTGATATTTAAGATTTTACATAGACTCTTGTAGTGCGTCTAATATTTTGGCCACAGACTGTAGTGTATTAATTGCTGGATAACATTCTATCAATTTATAATGTAATACGAGTTAATTATATTTCATTTAAAATGCTACTTTATTTGCTTAATTTATACATTCATTTAGTTAACATAAAAAGCAGGTTATTTACACACATTTTATAGATAATAGTTTTTACTCTAATATGATGAAAGGTCAATAGAGAAATCATTTTTCTCATATCATCTTGGATTTTAAATTAAATTTTTAATTTGAGGTTTTTTTTTTAAATTCTAGGCACTTACCAAAATTTTTATGATATATTCGACAGCACCTTTTAAAAAAGGTAAAAATAAAATGGTCTCTTTGATAGATATAGCGTTTCATAATTTTATGAATTTTTGTGGATTTTTTCTTCTTTAAAGCAATAAAATTGAGTGATTTGTGACTTCTAACTTGCTTAAAACAGCACATTTGTCAGTTTTAAGCGTTTTGTAAAATGATATTTTATTGAGGTTTAAATAGAGGAAAATCGATTTGGTTGATGCTAAAATGTTCTTCTAACGCACATAAGCAAAGATATTTTTTAAAAATCTAAAAACAGTATACTTTTTAAGTACCTTTCGAAAATTTATCACTTTGTCAAATAATATTAGTAAAAATAGCACCCGGTTTTATCGAAAGGTACTGATGTCACCATCTGGGGAAATAAACCCAAATGAATTCACATTTTGACGAAATTATTCTTTAGATTAGGTTCCGGTTAAATGCATATCCTTAAAGATTTAAAGCATACCGGGTGGCACTCAATCTATCTTAATTAGACCTAGTATAGATTTCGCTCATTTACTTCATTATATCTTTCATTTAAAATTAAATCATTTTTAAATATGGAATAGTAGTTAAACTGAGAAACAGCATTTTTCTAATTAATTGTGTGAAAAAATTGCAATCTTGAGAGCCCTGATTATACATTCTACATAAACGCTTGTATCCATATTCATTATCTCATCTATAATAATCGCAACAAAAAGAAAACCATATTTGAAAAGAATTTATAGAAGCATTAGTATAATAGTTGAAGGAGAGGAATGATTGAAATTATGTACTTTCTGCTTAAACATTGATGTGCAAAAAATTAACCCCTTTTGATCTACTGATCGGATTTTCAGGCACTGATGATTCATGAGCCTTAAATCAGCTAATTCATTGGGGTTGAGGATAGTTACGGACACAAAAACGTACTTTCTCTGAATAAGCATAAATTTGACCCTTAAAATAGGTCATCTGAAAAGCTCCAATAATTGGGACTTAATTTCTTTTTAAGGGAATACTTTTTACACAAAATTATCGGTGATTATTTAATAATAATTGAATTAAAAGCAACATAAAATGACAAAATTTGAACTAAATGGGTCGAGAGGACCGGTTTGAAAAAGTTTTTAAGATATAGTGAAACATCAGCTCTCCTCTATTATAGGGTTATAATTTCCAGTTATCCCTATAACGGTAGCCCATACAATTTTTTATTTTGCGACTACCAATCCTTATAGCGATATATTGATAATATACCATATATTTATAATGTTGTGAAATAATTTTCTTAGAGGTAGCAATATTAGTGTTTCGGCGTATTAAATGTTGAAGTTTCAAAAAAAAAATTTAAACTACACCAATGAATCAATAATTTAAAATTTTTTTGTTGATAAGATCAATTTGTTGGCTGATTATGCTCATAGATGTCTTAATATTATAAGTATTATAACCGTCGTTAAGCAGCAGACCCAATTTTTGGATTTACGACTACTAGCGTTCAACTACGTAGCCTTGTAATTTTGAACCAAATCCAGAAGACCAGGGAACTCCTGGATCAAGTCTTTAGAGAAATTTGCCTTTGTGGAAGACTTTTCTGATGGAACTACTCGAGTTATATGACGAGGAAAACCATAGGAGAGCAGTCTGAGGATATCAAGCAGCCATTGTCTGAGAATCGGGATTCCCACCACTTTATTTTAAGGCTTTTATTAGCATTTTTAAGGTTAACCAAAAAGCAAGTCCGATTATTGTTATTTAGAGTAACAAAATTCACATTAGTAGTTGAATTTTTTGTCACATAAATAGAGATGTTTCTGCAGAGCATGAAACAAAGGAATTCTATTGTTTACATTGAGATCATATCGTAACTATGGAAACACTATCCCCAACAGTTAAAAACCTGTTCTGCACGCAATTTATTTCCAGCAAGATAATGTTTCTAAGAAATATACTTGTTTTAAACAATTGTTTGATGAAACAAGTATTATATTATGATGAATACAAAATAAATACTTCCTAAAAACTTATTAAATTTATGTTATTCATTATATTAACATTTATCGGCATTATTAAAAGCTTCTTAAAAGTTAACATTGTTTGCAGATATTTTATAAAGTGTACCTTTATTTTTTGCATTTTTGAAGCTTTTATGAGTTATTTAAAAAATACAATTTACTAAGTCAATAATGATAACTAAGAGGAAAATAAACACACTGAAACTTTATTTTATTAATTCAAAATTGGAAAAACGCACAAGGCAGCTGAAACCAAATTTGTATTACATAAGCTAGAAATAAGACATAAATTCTTAATAATAAAAAATAAAATACAATGTATAAGTGTGTGTTTGCAAACACACACTTATATATTATATTTTATTTTTAATTATTAAGAATTTATGTCTTATTTCTAGTTTATTTAAAAAATATTATCAAAGTTTGTGTGACTTTTGAACACTATAATTTGCACACCAAAGTGTAACAATGACTTTTAAAATAACATATATGTATTATTTTCTAGCTTCTAAATTAGCTCCCACTTCTTTTCTTATTTCGGGTAGAAAAATTACAATTCTGATGTTACATTGGAAGTTACATACCGTTATTTTTCTTCCATTTTCGAAGCCTTTAAGAGTTATTTAAAAATATTATCAGCACTATAATTTGCATCAAAGTGTAATAATGACCCTTAAAATAACATATCTTTTAGCTTCTAAATTAGCTTCCACTTCTTTTCTCATTTCGGGTAGAAAAATTGCATTTCGGATGTTACATTGGAAGTTACATACCGTTATTTTTTTCCATTTTCGAAGCCTTTAAGAGTTATTTAAAAATATTATCAACACTATAATTTGCATCAAAGTGTAATAATGACTCTTAAAATAACATATTTTTTAGCTTCTAAATTAGCTTCCACTTCTTTTCTCATTTCGGGTAGAAAAATTGCTTTTCTGATGTTACATTGGAAGTTACATACCGCTATTTTTTTCCATTTTCGAAGCCTTTAAGAGTTATTTAAAAATATTATCAACACTATAATTTGCATCAAAGTGTAATAATGACTCTTAAAATAACATATTTTTTAGCTTCTAAATTTGCTTCCACTTCTTTTCTCATTTCGGGTAGAAAAATTGCATTTCTGATATTACATTGGAAGTTACATGCCGTTATTTTTTTCCATTTTCGAAGCCTTTAAGAGTTATTTAAAAATATTATTAACACTATAATTTGCATCAAGGTGTAATAATGACTTTTAAAATAACATATTTTTTAGCTTCTAAATTAGCTTCCACTTCTTTTCTTATTTCGGATAGAAAAATTGCATTTGAGTTTGATGATATTAACTGAATCTCTATAAAAATATTAGTTTAAGTGATGCTTCTAAGATAAGATGAAAAGAAAATAAATTATTGGAAATCTTTACCTGATGAAATCCCAGATATGTCTCCACTGTATGAGATGTGTAAAAAACTTCGCCATCACAGGTGAGGATCATTAGGAATCCATTTAATGCCTGAGGGGATGGTACAAAATTATTTTTCTTCACTCATTCAGATATATTCAAATTAAAAATACATATGTTTTAAATATTTTTAACTTGCATTTTTCTTAGCAAAATTGAAGTAAAAATTTTTAGAAAAAAATTCTTTTGAACATTTCTTAAAACATTTAAAATTTTAACTCATTCAGAGGTATTCAAATTAAAAATACATATGTTTTAAATATTTTTTACTTCCATTTTTCTTCGGAAAATTGAAGTAAAAAGTTTTAGAAAAAATAAATTCAACTTTGCATTTCTGCCATTAGCATTTTCTGTACTTAGAACCTTTTTTTTTTTCAAAGAAAAGGTAATTTCTAAGTTTGAACCAGTTTATTCTTCATTTTTTTTTACAATTCCTTAAAAAAAATTGATTCATCTAAATTTAGAGTTTCAATTTCCCGAAGGAAGATCTACGTAAATGTATTTAAAGCTCTTGCATTTCCAATTTTATGTTGTTTATTTTATTAAAAGATATATCATTTAATTTATCTCATTCAAAGATATATCATTTAAAAAATTTTAAAAATAAGAATCAAATGAGGCACTTAAAAATGCTTATTAATAAGTAAGCATCAAGGCTTCAACAGAAAATGTAAATAAAGTTCTAGGCGCGAATGAGCGCTTTGGTTAAGCTGATAGTTTTCTTTATCAACTTAGCCATTGTTTTGAAAAATATTGCCTTCACTGTTAGAAATTTCTCCGTAAAAGTGGTTAAATAACAATTTATTGAATGGTTATTTTACCATGTTTAATCAAAACAGTCAAATAACCATAAATAAAATGGTAATCAAACTTTTAAGTTTGAGAAAAACTGTTTATTACCTGCTTTCACCTAATATGGTTAAACAACCAGAATTTTATCGCACCAATTATAACCACCTAATGAAGCTACTGTTGCAGTGGCGAATGGGTGCATTAAATAAATAAACCATATTTATTAACAATCAAATTTAATAAACAATAATTCAATATGATACAAAATGGGGCTCTCCAATGAGCCATCCAGTTCAATCCATTGCCATAAATGATTAAAGAATTATTGATTACAGCGCCCTCTTTTGGTGAGGCGTAACAGCTACTTAGTTCTTTGCAACTGCTTACATATCATATCTGTCAATCCGGCAGAACTCGAGTTGACACCATTCCCTTCAAGACACTCTCCAATGCCCATTACCTTACGAAAAGACGAGATCTAGCTAAATAATTTATTTATTTTTACGTTTTCCAAAAATGCTAGTTGTAAATGGTTAAAAAACCGTATAGTTTCGTATTCATGTTTTATAACCATACTTTTTGTAACTGATTTCAAAATCATAAAGGAAAAAAATTTCCTTGCGTAAACTTCATGGTTAATCGGATGGACAGACAGTTATTTTACCATAATTTTAGAATGAAAATTTTGACAGTGCAGTTTCATATAAAATTATAACTAATTATCTAAAAAAAATTGCTTAAGGTGAATGTTTGTTTCCCTAAAATAAATTTTAAAAGTATAATAACTAAATTAAGAGATCCTTTTTTAAAAAAAAAAAGTAGAGGTGGTATATTTAATAAAAGCCTTATTTTAATTAACTTCAAATAAAGACAAACTATGTTTAAAAAATTTACTTCTTAGATTTCAGTTAAATTATAATTTTCCGCTTTGTACGCTTTTCACAATTTTGAGCCCCTCACTAAAGCATTTATTTATTTATGAAATAATATATTTGAAATTTTGGTTGCAGAAATGCAAAGAGACACAAAAATGTCACAAGCATTGGTCGGAAAAACTAAATTTTCTTGGTAGTTAACTACTTTTTTGTTTAAATGTAGTGACAACAAATTACTACTTTTAAATGATACATATCTTACTAGAGCGAATAATTTACACTAATGGTTTATGAATAAAAAAATTCTCTTAGATTAGAAGCTCTACATGAAATTATTCGAAAGGACCTCTTCTCGACAGTGAATATTTAATTTAAGAAATTAAACATCCTGAATAACTTTATATCTAATGATCGGATCTTAATGGTTCGATTTCCAATGAGTTCTCCTTCATTACTAATTTAAAAGAAAGGAAAAAAAAATTATTATTTTCATTTGTATATTTTCTTTTCAGTACTTTCTTCTACAGTTTAATTTAGGAAAAGGTCCTCTTAAGAACAATATTTTCTTTTCAGTACTTTCTTCTACACTTTAATTTAGGAAAAGGTCCTCTTAAGAACAACTGCTGCCATTCAAAAACTTGCAGCTCTAGAGCATCATTTTTCAACTTTGTTTCTTTACTAAACTTTAAAAGTAGTTGCTACTGCTTTTTTGTATCACACAACACGATACATGACTTCCTTTTATAACGCACTACACCCTTTTATAACCCTTTGTAACGCACTACACTACAAAGTACGGAAAAAAGTACAATAGTTTCGCTACTTTGTAACCTCCAACCACTGGTCAAGAGATAAATAATAGTTATAAAAATATTGCAAAAAAAATAATAATTATAAATATTTAGATAAAATATTTATAAAAAAAGGAAAATTTCAAACAATTTCTCGCTCTTATTCAATTACTAAATTGCTATTATAAAAAATACTTATAAAATGCAGGAAATTTTGAAATTATTAAACAAAATAATAGTTTTTTTTATTTAATTTAATAATTTAAACTTTCAAATATAGCCTTTTTAAATGCTAAAATGAACATTTCCGATGAAGCAGAGAAAGTATAAACGTAACCTTTATAGTAAATAATGATCTAAATTAATTAAATTTGGAGACGTAATTTGGCGAAATGAATTAAATTTGGCGACTTATTCATGGTCGAAATGGTAAATGTTGATAACTTAATAATTACTTGGAAATGGGCAAAATAGATTTTATACATAATTTCAGAACCTAAAAAAATCTATATGTAAAAAAATAAATAAATAAAATAAAAATCGAGCCCGTTGAGCGAGTGGCATTTCGGGTTACGTAGTTATTTGATATAGTACAATACAAAACCTTTAAGAGTTAGGTTCACGCAAGCTTTAAAACAAGACAATGGCAAAATGCTATAACCCTAATACAATTGTTATAATGTCACAAAACAAGTTTGATTTTTTTTAACCACTTAGTATTTTTCTTTTCTTTGATTGTGAAATACTATTTGTTTATTTTCAGCAGGAACAACTGAAAATATAATTTAAAGGGAAAAGTTAGACACAAAAGTTTCGTGAAATAACGAATGCAGTTAAAAGAATCATTTGATTCTGCAAATAAGTTATCATAAAAAATACTATTAAAAGCAGAAGTATACAAGAATCTAGGAATTCATTACTCAAAAAAGTTTAAATTGTTTTCGAACTTTGTTCGAACTGTTTCGATCTTTTAAAATTTAAGGTGAAAATGGTAATTTTTGTTCATTTATAAGTTAGTAAATGAATTTCGTAAACAATTTTCGAAATTAAAATAGTTAGACCAAAGCCAGATTCTTGCAAAAGCTTAGACATGGTTACGAGTTTAGGATTAATAATGACGCCACTCATTTCTTTTAAAGGAAGAAATAAAAAAAAATCAGCCTGTTTCTGACACTCACTTTTTTTATTGCAGAAAGCTAAAGTGTATTTTTTGTTAAAAAAGTGTTTTTTTAAGAACTACTCAGTTTTGTATTTTTCTGCCAGCGTTTTCAAATAAATGATTTAAAAATTGCTAATTTTTGACGCATCTGCGCACTAAAAAATATTTTAAATCAAACTATGTTGTGTTATTTTATACACGTATTAATGCCACAAAGTTAAAAGTATCAATTTTACAGCTTAAAAATATCAATTTCACAGTTCATAAAAGTAAATTAAAAAATGAAAACTAAGAGGTTTCAAAAGCTTTAAATAAAATAGAATTTTTTGAAATATTTAATTAAGTGACAATTTCAAAAAGATCTTTTCTTCGGTAGTTAATATTGCTTTTATTATTTTCTTGTATAATTTTAAAGCTTAGAAATAAGAAATTTTTAGTATCTTGAAGAAAGTGAAGAATTCAGTCTGTGACTGTTAGACTTCATGTAACATGTGATAAGTTCAAAGGATATAATAACTCCATAGCTGATTATAATATCGATTACTGCAACCAAACGTTCAATTGAACCATCCAGTTTAACATGGAGGTAGTGCGCTACAAGTAGGGTGGTCGCTTTTCTTTCTAGTAAAGTGCAATACACAAAAGTCCTGCCAACTACTTTTAACGTTAGTTAAATTTAGTCAAATTCAATAAAGAAACTTGTTCAGCAAATGAAGGGAAATACTTATCATGAAATTGTCACCAACCTTTCAGTAAGTCATATAATTAAAATAACACGCCCCAGTATGAAATTAAATGATTGAGTAGCTTTGACACAACCTTTAAAGTTTTTGAAAGGCTATCTATCACTTACAAAACATTTGAGACAGGCGATTATCGCTCTTTTTTTCTGCTGCTTAAAATGGGTAAAAACTAAATTTGTATGACACAACTCAAATTCAAAATTTCACTTGCATTTTTTAAAGCTTATCTAAAGCAAAAGGAAGTTCTTAAAGGAAATATATTGATAAAAACATAATGAAAGAAAAAAAAAAGTTGCATCAAACGAATGAAAGATCACGAATAAGAAAAACAAACTAGAATAGAGGGAAGGTGTTCCCAAACTAATTACCAGTCTATTATTACCTAGCAGACGGTTGCCGCGCTTTAATTGAGCAGCTGTTTTACTTCCTTTTTTTTCATTTTTTCTATGATATTTATTTTTCTATGGAGAGATTTAAAAAGTTATTTCTTTCATTATAAAAATTTGTTTAATAAATATATAAATATTGGCAAGGAGAATGAAATTCTAGTAAAATCACCGCACAAATGACATTTTTGGTTTAAAAAAAAATTGTTCATACAACGAAAATATACGGCATTTAAACCATTTATTTGGTAATTTTTCCATTCATACGAATATTCTCGTTTCCAAAATTGTACTTTTTAATAACC